TATATTGCATGCGATTATGTATAGTATGTCTGGGCTTGCGAGCGCAACGATCTAGTACACACCATACACTCTGTCTACATTCCGTTGTATGTACCATGTTTTTGCACACTTGTGCTCCCACATCTCTCAACTAGTTCACTCCTCCTCAACAACTTTATCATACCCCACGGCTACTCATAAGTGTACATACACCCCCTCACACTCCTCACAGACACGAAGGGGCTCTTCGCCGGCTGAGCCGCTTACTAGTGCCAGTCACAGCGGTCAGCAGCACTCACCCGCTAAGATAACCAGCAACCTCAGCGCACAAAACTCGCGATCAAAGGACTCGCCACCATGCTCATCGTCCCCTTCGCCGTCGTCGGGTCGGAGAAAAAGCTTAGCGGAGGTATGTGTGGCGACGGATGTGAAGATGGGCACTTTGACGTGAGAAATTGTGTGTATGTATTGGTTATTTGGTATGTGCTGAGTACACAGGCCTGGTCTATAACTAGGAACGGGTATAACGCACAAGTAGTTACGACATGCCTGTTCGTTCCATATACCTGTGGAACAAGCAATGGATAGTGCGTAATTCTACCTGTTATATAGCTCTGAATAGACTTGGAAATATACGTGTGCATATATGTGCAATATATATATATATATATATATATATATAATATATATATATATTCTAGGGCGATGCCGTCTATAGTCTGTATGATGATATCTCTGCCAGTTCGATCACTTCGCTATCTTAGTCTAAACAGTATCCGTGCTTAATACTATCTACATATTCATTCCTTGTTTGTACCTATTACTCTCGATCGATATGTTGTCCTTATGTGATTCTCTCTCTTCGATAGTTCTGATATCAAGTCAAGTCTACCAATAAAGGCACCAACACAAACACCATCTCAACCATCACTAATTCTCAGACCACCAACACATACACCATCTCAACCATCACTAATTCTCAGACCACCAACACATACACCATCTCAACCATCACTAATTCTCAGACCACCAACACATACACCATCTCAAACATCACTAATTCTCAGACCACCAACACATACACCATCTCAACCATCACTAATTCTCAGACCACCAACACAAACACCATCTCAACCATCACTATTTCTCAGACCACCAACACATACACCAACACCATCTCAACCATCACTTATTCTCAGACCACCAACACCATCTCAACCATAACTAGTTTTCAGACCACCAACACATACCCCATCTCGACCATCACTAATTCTCAGACCTTGATCTACAAGAAAAGTTCGTGCTCCTTAACTCACTTTTCTTTATCACACTCTCCATACCCACAGGTGATCATGTCGCCACTCAGCTCTTTCAAGAGCATGAAATTCGGAAACAGTAAAGACGATGTGCTAAACGATCCCAGTCTAAAAATAACCATGCCCACTGCCATCCCGGCAGCAACCACTACAGACACAGAGCAAATATTTTTTCCCGCGTCACCGAAACCTCGACGTCACTTGTGAACAGCTTTAGTAAAGAATAAACTTGTGAATGATCCGCCTTTTATTACTCTTGTTACTTGTCTGGGGAAGATCAAGGCTGCGCGATAACATGCAGAGTGGTGTGAACCTATGTTACCCTGGAGCATGTCTAGGTATAACAGAGCTGCTGTAATCGTCATATATTTCTAACTTATCATCGTAAGTCGCGCGAAGAATCGCGTGGTCCGCTATAAGCGGTAGTCAAACAGCACGCTTACGAGTCTCATTACAGATTTCCAATCTGCTTCACAGAGTGATCCTGCGATTTTGCCTCCAGCGATACAAAAAGAAACAGCATGCTTGCGAGTTTTGCAACAGCACAACTACACCCTTCTCCAAAGACTTTGTCACATTTGATTTTCCCTGGTGATACAAGAACAAACAGCATGATTACGAGTCTTGTTACTACACAACTGCACTCTTCACAGATTTTTTTCTGGTGTTACAAGAACAAACAGCATGCTTACGAGCCTTGTTACAACACAACTGCACTCTTCTCCACAGCCTGGTCACATGTGATTATTCCTGATGGTACAAGAACAAACAGCATGCTTACGAGTTTTGCAACAACACAACTGCACCCTTCTCCACAGACTTTGTCACATGTTGTTTTCTCTGGTGATACAAGGACACACAGCACGCTTGCGAGTCTTGTTACAACACAACTGCACTCCTCTCCACAGCCTGGACACATGTGATTTGTTTCTGGTGATACAGGAACAAGCAGCATGCTTATGAGTCTGGTTACTACACAACTGCACTTTTCCACATAGACTAGTTCCATGGATTTTTCCTGGTCACATCTCACTTACGCAGGCGGATGTTGATACTATTTCTAGTTCGGAACAAAGAGAATATACATGATACAGTCAAAACAAGGGCTGTTTGTTGAATATTTGAGGATCCTACATAGTACAATTCCCGTTCCGCGAAGTGCGGAATTTGCCGCCACAATATATCTAGCTGACCATAGACCTCGACTAGCGAAACACTTGTGTGTAATGATACTTCCAAAACAGATTCGATTATGTACAGTGAAAATGACAAACCGTGCACACCAACATCCCTATAATCCATTGAGTGCTTCAGTAGGAATTAATTCCGCCACACAATATATAACAACTCTCCAAACGCATTGCCGCCGAGTAAGACCCACATTCCCAACACCTCTGCACTTTGGTGAATTCTGTTCAATTCTAAGTTTGACGAATACATACTGAACCAATTATCAGACTGCGGAAGCCCATAAAAGCGATAGTGCGACTATGCTCAATTGTGCATTGAAGCGCTCCACATGGTAGCCATTGCATGTTACGATACCCATATTGGTTCCAAAGAAACCATTTTTTTCGATCGAAAAGCGAGACCTTTCTAAACTGCGCGGACGGTGATTTGCTACTGTCTGAGCGAAATCGGTTAGAACGAGGATGTGACATTGTTATCACTCTTCCAACAACCCTACAGACGATGAAAATTCGTCTTATATTTAGCTCCAAACCCCAAGGCCACTCGTTAACTGTATATATTAGTTTTGAGTACTTAGATGTTTGAAGGTTATAACTTGTACAGAGCACGACTCACCTTACTTCTATACCTTTGCACATACGTATGATATAATTCAACAACCCACGGATTCATGATATAATTGCAATCGTGTACAGATGTACACAGACTACAGACACAATGTGGGGTAAGGATCCCTGTAAGATTTGAAATTCGATGACCAGGTTCAAACTAACGATGTGCAACAGGTGTGGTCTGAGTCAGCACTCGGCACTCAGCACTCAGCAGAGCCTACTAATCTTTTACTCAACTCAAGGTGAAGCGTGAGCAAAGTGAACTGGAAAATTCAATATCAGATACACAAATACACCTTCGACATTCGTCTATGTACATAATATTTACTCAAAGTTACCCTTTAGGTAAAACTGTAAGGAGCTCTATTATAAATTTGTCCAAAATATTTTTTTTGCCTCATCGAGAATTCGAGATTTTTTAGATCAGATGCTATTTTTTTATTGTTTATGTTTAAAAAAAAATATCTTAAAAAATACCGTGCTCGAACTTTCGAAATTGGAAGTCACAGCCTCACGCAGGCTCAAGTGAGTCAAGTCTCAAGCTTAACAGCTACGCACCATTTCGAAGAGCCAACGTCCCGACGAGCGGCATTGGTAAAAGAGTTTCCTCCGCTACAAACTTAAATAGAAGTGGTAGAAGATCAGAGAAATCGATTCTGAGTGGTAGGTTAAAAAACAGCGGGCTTCAGGCCTCAGTCCGCTCCGGCTCACAGCCGAACTCACAGGGGAAAAACCCTACTGTAATTTATTTCTAAAGAATCACGTGTGCCGTACATATGACATTTTGGTCGGAGTTTGTTTTCATGTTTTAAAAGTATTCCACATCGTCATGTGCGTTAAGGCTGTGGGAGTCAATCAGAGACCTTCCCTCGTCGGAGTCATCTGTCATCACTACAATACAGAGCCATCGAGTGAGCTATATTTGCTCTGTAGTAAAGAGCGGGTCCATGGAAATCACTAAAAGTAATCGCAGATTTGCTTTTTTTTTTACAGTAGCTATCGTGTTTTCATTCGTAACCACTAAGGTTTTTCTCGGGACGTGGAGATTCTATTGGTTTATACAAAAACTCTCACACATCATTGTTTAAATTTATTACATAATTCAAAATTGAAACTTCAAAGTTCAAACCAATGCCGGCAGTGGATTGCACCTGAAAAATAGAGAACAGGTTGCAAAAAAACCTGGACTTTTCCTTGAGAATATATGATATTGCACCTGAGAAGTAGAAAGTGGGTCGAAAAAACCAGGACTTTTCCTTGATATTATTATGATATTCCATCCAACAAACTGAGCACAATCAAATACTGCCGTAGACCAATCAGAAACCACTGATACATCTTCGCGCTTTTCACTGAGTTTGCAGTCGTTGTTATGTGCGAAAATGTATTGCTTTCTCAAATTGAAGAAAGGGAAAGCGGGTTTATTGACGGTGCACAGTTGCAACAGTATATTGAATCCGATGTAAATACAAAATTGTTTGTTTGTGTCATACTGTCATTGCGTGACGAGACTCACGAGCGCCGTAGAAAGTAGAAGTTTGGAACAGGTAGAAGATTCTAAAAATGCCAAACAGAAAATATAAAAGCTGTTGGCTCGTGTAGGTTTCTCTTCACTTTAGACTAAAGAATACTAAATCATGTCCATTGCATTTGCAACCAGAGGGCTTCGGTCTCTCCACGGTGTCCACCGTATGGCACCCACCCTTTTCCGTGGAAAGTCCATGGCCGCTCACAGCCAGGTATGCATCGCACTATACTTTCGTGTGCTTCATGTTGGGTTTATTACGAGTTCTGTCAGGATGGCAGAATCGAGTTCTCATTTCTGGAGTTCAATATTCATTCCTCATTTTATTTATTTATGTCGCATATACAGGACCAGCACCTCCTTGCAGATGTAGGAATCTCGTCCAGCGTTCCTCTGCACCACAACTTGACCTACAAAGAAGTGAATGAGCACGAGATCGCCAACAATGAAGGTGCCGCTACTGCCAATGGTACATATTCCATTGACACTGGTATGTTCACTGGACGTTCACCCAAGGACAAGTACATTGTTGAGCAGTCCCCCTCCAAGGAAGATATCTGGTGGGGCCCAGTCAACGCTCCCATGAAGCCTGCCGTTTTTGACAAGCTTTACAACAAGGTCATCAACCACTACAATCAGACGGCCGATAAGATGTACGTCTTCGACGGCTACTGCGGTGCCAATCCCGCAACCCAGAAAAAAGGTAAGTCTCACAATTCAACAAATGCATTAATTGTAGCCTGGTGTCTGAAGTTACTCTATTTGAGGTATCGTGGAAAGCATATCGATCTATTCTATTGTGGTTATCATCGTGCAGGGTGACTTATGTGATACTCCCCTAATATTCAATACAGTGCGATTCATTACCGAGTTGGCATGGCAGCACCACTTTGTCCGCAATATGTTCATCCGTCCCGCGGATGATGCTGACTTGTCGGACTTTAAGCCCGATTTCACCATCATCAACGCTTGCAAAGTGACCAACCCTGATTACAAGGTATGCATGAGGTGTTTTGCAAATTTATGTACAACTTATTACAAGTGAGGGTTTTTGTGATCAGCACAACCCACTAACAGTCTCTACGGTTCGCGCACTAGTTTCAGCTGAAACACTTAAACGTATCGGTGTGTTTAATTTTGTATAGGTTACATTTCGGCGTCTGAAGAGTGTTGATTGTATTCTGCCTTTTGAGTGTATTGAATACGTACCCATAGCGAATACAAAACAATGTATCCGTATCCTATGACCTTGTGTGCGCATTGTAAAAGTAGATACCTTGTGTGCGCATTGTAAAAGTAGATACCTTGTGTGCGCATTGTAAAAGTAGATACCTTGTTCTTACACCTTTTTCTCTCAACAAAATTAATTCACAGGAGGATGATTTGAACTCTGACGTATTCGTTGGATTCAACATTGAGAAGAAGGTAGGCGTTATAGGTGGCACATGGTACGGTGGTGAGATGAAGAAGGGTATCTTCTCCATGATGAACTACTGGTTGCCCAAGGAAGGCATTATGTCCATGCACTGCTCCGCGAACGTAGGCAAGGACGGTGACACCGCTCTGTTCTTCGGTCTTTCTGGGACCGGCAAGACCACCCTGTCCGCCGATCCCAAGCGCTTCTTGATTGGAGATGACGAGCACGGTTGGGACCACCACGGTGTGTTCAATTTCGAGGGAGGTTGCTATGCCAAGACTATCAATCTGGCCCCCGAGACCGAGCCTGAGATTCACGCTGCCATCAAGCCCAATGCTCTTCTCGAAAACGTTGTGCTGAAGGAGGACAAGACACCCGACTACTTCGATGTGTCCAAGACCCAGAACGGCCGTGTGTCATACCCCATCTTCCACATCCCCAACTACGAGCCCACCTCACAGGCCGGTCACCCAAAGAACGTGATCTTCCTGACCTGTGATGCGTATGGTGTGCTTCCTCCCGTGTCCAAGCTAACCCCTGGACAGGCCCAGTACCACTTCCTGTCTGGTTACACCGCCAAGGTTGCTGGAACTGAGCGTGGCATCAAGGAGCCCGAGGCGACCTTCTCCGCTTGCTTTGGCGCTGCGTTCCTTCCCCTTCACCCCACGAAGTACGCTGATCTACTCAAGACCAAGCTAGAGGAGCACAACACTAACGTATTCCTAGTCAACACCGGATGGTCCGGAGGTGCCTATGGCGTAGGAAACCGAATGAGCCTCAAGACCACCCGTGCCTGTGTGGACGCCATCCTGGATGGATCTATCAACAAGTCTGAGTTCAAGGCCGACCCCATCTTCCAGTTCGAAGTGCCTCAGACTCTAGGTAACGTCAGCCCTGATGTTCTTGTACCAAGGAATGCCTGGGAGGACAAGGCTGCGTACGAGAGCGCTGCCAAGGAGTTGGCCAACAAATTTGTTGCTAACTACTCGCAATATATTCACGAGGGTAAGCCTGATTTCTCAGCCTTTGGACCTAAACTATAGATAGTTGGTTGGTTAATTACTTAGGATTGAGCGACAGGGCTGGAAGGTGATCCTGCAAAGTGTAAATATTTAACAGTACGTCTGTGCATGTATGTAAATATATAACCCAACAACTCACAACATTATTTAGTAACTCAGAATAAAGGGAAATTTAAACGACCACTGTTTCACACAACTTTTTAAAGCCGGAGAAAGAATGGCCTTCTGTATACATCCGAAAGCTTGTTTTATACGACCTAAAACTCTATCACCCCCTGTTCCCACAGGGGGTTAAAACCCTAAAACCCTAAATCGGTTTGGTTGGACATGGCACGTCAAAGGCCGTTCTAGGTGATTGGCCATGCACAGGCTCTCTATACCACAGAGAAGTGCACAGGTGAGGACCGAGTAAAGAGCTCTCCGTCTGTATGGGAGCATAGCAAGTTCTGGGTACCAACCAGAGCTCTATATCACATGTAGTACGCTGAATTGGGAGCGTGCGATCGCTGTGATGTTGTTGGAAAAGGAAGGAAGCTAATGACATTGTCTCAGTGCGGATGACGAACTCGCTGTGAAAGCGTACGCGGGGCTAATGAATTCTGTATGAAGCTGGGAACCCTCTTTACCGGCCTGCGTGTACGTATGTATGTATGTCTGTGTTTGTGTATGTATGTATGTATATATATAAATGTGTATGTATGTATGAATTTATGTATGTTTGTATGTGTGTATGTATGTATGTATGTATGTATGAATGTATGCGTGTATATAGATATATATATATATGTATGTATGTCTGGCTATTTGCCTATCCGTCTGTATCTATGTATCTAAGTATGC